GCGGAGAGCCACATAAAGCACAGACCGTGGTGTAATCAGAAACATGAGTGTAGGGAATAGACACCTCCCCTCTACACAGAATCATATGAAAACATGGACAGCTGAAGATGTCAATCACGTGCGGTGTGCTGCTGGAGGGGGGGTTGGTGGCAGTGACATAACCCTAGATTGTCTGTCAACGCATACAGATAGAGGAAGGAGCGAGCTGTGACACATTGTGCTTAAGAATGAGGCACACTACAGAAGGATATGCATTTGTTCATTTTTCATGTGTGAAGTTTACTACCACAAAAGGTATTTTTCTTGAATCACAGATTTGCCAATTCCAGCAGGACCACTATCTCGAATCCTCTAAGATTTCCCATGATCAGCTTTTCTCAAACCTCCACACCTTCTTCTAGGCCCAGAGTGCATCAAGGTGCTGGCAGGTGCTTTCTGGAAGGGCATCTGGTGTCAACAAAATGTGGCAGTGCAAAAGTCACACATTGGTTTGAGGCAGTAGTCACTCACGCAATGCGAGACCCTTATTCCCAAGCTTCCTTCACTCGTCCTACAGCATGTTGGCCATTGTTGTTTGGAGACCCCTGCTCTAAACTATGGCTCTCCAGGTGTTGAGGAACTGCAAGTCCCATGAGGCCTTACAAGACTGACAGCCACAGGCAAGACTCCCAGAGGCAGAGGCAATGGGACTTAAACAGCTGGAGGGCCATACCTTGAAGACCCCTGGTTTAGAGCACCGCACCGAACAATGCGGCCCCCGGTGCTTGGGCAGCCAGCTCCTGGCCAACGTGCAGAGTGGCTGCACGTTGTGACTTCTGTCAGCGGGTGGAACAGGAAGAAGGTGACCTCAGATCACTCCGCTCTTCCTGCTCCTGCCTACTGAGACCTACCTAGTGCGGCTTTTCAGTCCAGTTATTCAATAACAGTTTGCCCTCAGTTTTTTGTGTGCACCCCATAATGTCCTGGTGCGTACCCCAGGCGGTATGCACAACTCAGGTTGGGAACCACTACCCTATATAAAAGTAGCCTGTGTTTAGAGTGGTAATAGTTGATGGTTAATTGCAAAAGTCTCAAGGCGCCATACTAAATGATGTCAGGGACAGGCACAAATCCAGACAGCTACCTAGTAGCCTGGCTTGCTAACACAGCAATGTGTTTTTAATGCCACTCCAAGCAACAGTTGACACACTTAAGCTGAGTAAAAGTTCCTTTATTAGATAAAGTCTAATTATGAAATAACTATGGTGCCGAAGAATTGCAGGTGTGTGGAATGACTACATTTCACAGGAAAATGGAGCATTCTCCCAACATCTGACTTTGAAAAAATAAACTCCAGCCAAACTTTTTTTTCTTTTAATGTGGTTTTCAAACCCTTGCATTTATTATTATTATTATTTATTACTACGAGTTTATATAGCGCCAAAGGGTTTGCTCAGCGCTGTACAATAGGGGGGGACAATACATGGCACAGTACAACAAAGACAGACAGACATTTACCCAGTGAAGCGATACAGAGATGAAAAAAAAAAAAAAAATTATATCTATCTATATCTCTTAACATAAGTTGTACCTGTTTATCTACATCGATCTCTTCTGTACATCGATTTGTTAAGTATGCCTTTTCAAAGAAGGACATTAATGCCAATTCTGTTGCATTTGTCTGATAGAAGTTTACTGAAGAAATAAAATGTACATTGGATCACAGAGAATACAGATGGATACATGAGTGGATGTTTTATAGGAAACCTTCAGCATGGTTCAGAATTTATACAGTTTGTCTGAGCATCCAGAAAAACAAAGGGCAGAGAGCTCAAATTACAGAGCTCAGTGAGAGGAGCTGTGAGCTGATTAGAGGTAAGGGACACTCCCCCCTTCACATAGCACACAGAAACAAAGCTATGCGCTGGAGGTTCCTCCCCTGTCACCTTTTTTCTCTTGTAGTCAGAAATACTTGTCAGAACTGACTCATACAAAACAGCAGAGGAATGAAGCAGCAGACAGAAATGACACTTAGTGCTCTGGATTGAGACAAGCACACACTATAAAAGGGATATGCCTTGTTCACATTCCATGTCTGAGGTTTACAACCACTTTAATTTTGAATAAAATGAGAAAACGGTTAGAATCACTTTGAAGTTTTGTATTGCTGTCATCAGGGTCCCACTGGACAGATTTTCTGTCCGTTTCACGTGTGTCAGATATTGGAAAGCGTGTGTGTGCGTCGCGGCAGGGGACGGTTATCTCCACATAGGGAGAACAGAAAACAAAACACTTTTTTTTACTAGACAGGAAAGCTTTTAGAGTTACCAGCTTTTCAATGTGTGTGTGTGTGTGTGTGTGTGTTTTTTTTTTTGGGGGGGGGGGGGGGGGTTCCACTGGGAAGATTTCCCTCACTTCCTGTCTAGGTGATGGTCAAGCAAGAAGTGAAGGGAAATCTCCCCATGAATACAGAAGTAAAAACAACGACAGGGGATTCCAATCTTTCTGTACTCCACCCTCCCCCCCAAAAAAAGAAGTTGGAGTTGCACTGGTTGGAGCTTCTCAAGGCACAAAAGCACTAATAAACAATGTTTGGAATGATTGCCTTGGTAAAGTCATCCAAGAGAGATACGCTTATACTTGTCAGTGGTGACAGCAAGGCTAAGGAAAATAAAATAAATCATTACAGAAACTGTTTTGGCAGCATACATGGGGCTATATACAGTATCTTTTTTTCCTCAGACGCAAGGGCTCGCCTTGTGAACATCTCATAGGTATACTGCTACAGAACACAACCCAGCCTTCCAGCACTCCTCTAATGCCTGCTATGTAATAAAAAGAAGGTGCACAGTTAGCAACCAGGGGACTAATGTGGAGACACTGGTGATCATCCAGTCATTGATTCACATATGGATATGCATTTATGGTTTTCAATTTGAAAGTTAGTTATACTCATATATACACACCATATACAGTACGATATCTTTATATTTACTACTGTGTTAAACATGGTTGCAATCAGGGGCGGACTGACCATTTGGAAACTCGGGCACTGCCCGAGGGCCCGGGGTCAGTAGGGGGCCCCATTAGATGCCCCTGGTACCTTTTTCATAGGCTTTGAGTTTGGGCAAGGACACAGGGGCCCCATGATCCCCTATTGCCCAGGGGCCCCATGAGTTGTCAGTCCGCCCCTGGTTGCGTTTTAATACTGCGTCATGCCAGGTAATGGGCGTTTACCAGTCTCCCAAAGTTTTCCAGCCGGATCAGCTTAATCCTGGGTTCACACTGATGCCGTGCGGAATTCGCACTGTTTTCGGTACAAATTCCACACCGCATCATAATCGCACCCCGTTCATGCCAACCGCTCCGGCTGTGTATGTTAACCCCTTCACGCCGGTGCCTCCCGGCCCTTTAAGAGTTTCAGAAGCCGGGAGGCGGGGTTTAGGGTCAAGTGACTGCCTTGACGCGTCGTCACAGAGGTCGCATGATCGGGAAAGGTCCTGATCGAAAGAGGAGATCGGGACCTTTCCATGAGTACCAGACGTGTGCTGGGAGCGCGCACTCTCAGCACATATGTCCTTTTTTAATAGAACGCAAATGTGCGGCCGCTCAGCATCTAGGCCCAGACACTGGGAGGCCACACATTTGCATTCGGCCGGCATTAAGAGGTTAAGTATCTGACACCCTGAAATTGGTTTGCAAAACGTGGTGTGATGTGCAGAATCGGATCACGTGGGTGCGAATACCCATGCAATCCGATTCTGATACGTAAAAAAAAAAAAAAAAAAAAAAAAAAAAAAAAAAAAAAAAAAAAAAAAAGTCCTGCACCTTTTTGGTGTGGATGCGGTGCAATTTGAGCCATACAAAATGTATGCTTCAAATTGCATCACACAGAATTCGCATGTGATTTGCATAGCAACGCAATGTGGTACCTGTGCGAATCACATGCAATATGCTGCACTGCATACGTGTGAACCCAGGCTCAGGCTCCTTGTACAGGGTGTTTAGTTGTTTTGCTTGCATCCCTGCATTTCAATACACTCCAGAGGACCTGTGTTTGCAGGCATTCATCCCTGAACGCATAGTGCCCTAAATGCAAGTACCACTAGACAGTGTTCAACCGCAGAACATTTCTGCCAGTCATAGACTTTGACAGGCTGCAGGCAGCCTCTTGGGTGCACTAAAACTGCAGAATGCACACACAGCAGCTAGACGCTTAACAGTGTTAAGAACTGCATGACAAAACTATGAAAATCGGCAATACTAGCAATTGTTTTATTAATGCCTCTCATAATAATAAAAAAAAAAAAAAAAAAAAAAGAAGGATGCACCACCTGCAAAGCCAGGCTATATGAAAATAGCTGCATTCATTTTGTGAATAGTAGTGCTCTGTAACAGCAAACTAAAATGGTTTTACTTTTTTTGGCTGATTCAATAAATAAATAAATGTTGACACATTCACAGTAATTAGTACTGGGCTATTTATCTAATTCATTTAGAGTAATAGTTTTAGTTATTAACCTTAAAGAAGAATTCCAGGCAAAATTACTATTTTCCCATGCAGAGGGGCTGTGCCTGCACAAGCATGGGTTAAATTATAGTTATTGTCTAAGGGATCGGAAAGCAAAGCTATACTTACCTAATCCGCTTATCATCCAAGATCAGTCCCCACTGCTCCTGCCCCCGTATGCTAGCGGTCTTGTGAGTGGGCTGTTCCTGATGTCATCCCACCGATAGACCAGCTCCTGAACATGAGGACAGCAGGAACAGTCCACCGCTGGACATGGGGGAGTGCGGTTTTCCAGAGGATTGGGCAAGTACAGCTTTTCCCTGAGCCCCTGGACAAAATGAGCACTTAACCCAAGCAGCTCCACTGCATGGAAAAATAAGTTTTGACTGGAGTTATGCTTTAAATTTCTACCCCAGGAGAACCATTAAAGACGGTTTCAGGTTTTAGGGAAACGTAGCGTATCAGAGGAAAAAATGGCCATTTTATAGAATGCCCCTCTTACAGATATGGTCATAATGTTACCTTAACACACGGGTGTCAAACTGGCGGACCTCCAGCTGTTGCCAAACTACAAGTCCCATGAGGCATTGCAAGACTGACAGTTACAAGCATGACTCCCAAAGGCAGGGGAATAATGGGACTTGTAGTTTTGCAGCAGCTGGAGGGCCGCCAGTTTGACACCCCTGCTTTAAAAAAAAAAAAAAAAAAAAAAAAAAAAAAAACTTCACTGGTGTAATGCCTATAGCTCTGCCAAGTGGCCTTGGATCAGAAACTATACAGGCATCATCATACTGGAGGCCATTCAGCCACAGTTCTAAGAACCCCTAGCAATCTTGGGGGGGGGGGGGGGGGGGGGGGGGGGGGGAATCCCTGGCTAAAAAATTGTTCATTTACAGAGTTATGAGATTTTTCATCATGCAGAACTTTACATAGCACCCTGAACTATTCATGTCAGTCCATTCCCCAAAAGATCTTACAGACCAATTCATCCTTTCTAAACCTTCTTAAATGCAGATAAACCCTTTAAATAGCATTGGGGTCTCAGGGAACCCTTACTAATAAATACTACATCTACAGTTCAAGGTAAATTAGTGTGACGGTCACTGGAAAGAAATGCTCCTTACATTTTGTGGTCACTGGGAAGATTCCCTTCCTTGCAGATAGCCAAGCCAATCATTGATGTTAGCAATTACTTTTCTGAGGGAAAATTGCTCATTGCCCAAGAAACCCATAGCGTCCTTTAGTGCACGGGTGTCAAACTGGCAGCCCTCCAGCTGTTGCCAAACTACAAGTCCCATGAGGCACTGCAAGACTGACAGTTACAAGCATGACTCCCAAAGGCAGAGGCATGATGGGACTTGTAGTTCTGCAACAGCTGGAGGGCCGCCAGTTTGACACCCCTGCTCTAGAAAAACCCTAGTTGAGAAAAGGCTTGTCTAATGTCTCATTTAAACTCATGCAGACAATTTGGCCAGTTTTTAGGAGGAAGCTACTTAACCTACCAGTATGCTTTGGATTGTGGCAGGAAACCAAAACACCCCAAAGAAACACACATACGGGGGGAACACACAAGCTCCATGAAGATGCCATCCAAGGTTGGAGCCAAACCTGAAATCTCAACAAACCAAAGCCAAGAGGATCACTCACACCACATTGCTGATATACAGGCCATGTTACTAAATTATGAAAACAAAAATACCAAAAAAAAAAAAAAAAAACCCCACAATTTACCAATTAACCAACAATCCCCGGACTTCACACAAGTCAGTAAGGTGTATATGAATCTGTTGCAACAAGGACAGAACTGTTGCAACCATATCTCCAGTGAAGTGGTTGAGTTATACACACAGAAGGTATCTAGAGAAGTTAAAGCGCGATGAAAACCTAGCAAATATCAGTTCCAAGGAAACCTATTGTCTCGAGAAGGTGCAACACAATACTTACATGTGCGGCACAATCAACAATTTACGCCATCATACAATAGGTCTTTATTAACCTCCACTTTCCTTATCACCGATATGGCTGTATTTTATTTCAAATCTGTTAGAACAATAGCACCATACAGTAAAAGAGTCACTAATAAGAACTACTTGAATTTGTCCTATGCATAGGTATTAACAATGAAAATTTTCATTAAGTTGGCACAAAGCTTCCAACTACATGTACACTGTCAGAAATGTGTTGCCTTAAAGTGATTGTAAACCCTTGCATGTACCTAGTGAAGTGACTGGCCTCAGGTGATACACAGAGATTAAGCAAATCATCCTTCAGAAGTTGTACCCATTTATCTGCTGTCTTCTCCACATCCAAAGTGTTTAATTTAGAAAGCTTGTAGAGCAGTCAGAAAAAGGGGGCAGAGAGCTGAAGTTACACTCTGCAGATCTCAGTGAGGAGAGTTCTGAGAACTGATTGGAGGGCAGAGACCCACCCCTCCTCCACACAGAAATAGAGTGGATGCTGTCAATCTGCTTGAGATCTCTCCCGTCACCATTTTTCTTTTGGTGTCAGGAAACTGTCAGAATTGATTCATGCTGATAGGAGAGGAACGAGGTAGCAGACAGAAATGACACTTAGTGCTCTGGCCTGATAGAAGTACACACTTTAGAGTGATATGCTCTGTTTATAATTCATGTCTGGGTTTACAATCACTTTATACTGCCCACAGATGGATCAAAATTCAGCTGGTTAAGAAGGGACCCGCCAAATTTTGATCCATCTATGGCTGTTCCTGCTCTACAAAAGTCAATCTAACCATCGACCTCTGTTGAACAGGACTGTTGGAAAATGTTTGCCAATCAGTAAGTTGATCAGTGTATTCTGATAGCAGGAGTCCCCGCTGTCAGAATACAATGGCACAGTAGGGAGGACTTCCCCATCCACCTAGCATGTGTTGAGGGGTGAATCGGTTTTCTTTTTTTTTTTTTTTAATCAGCTCTCTGGCTGGTCGAATAAAAACGAGGCATCTATGACCAGCCTTACTGAATCACCCCCACTGAGTTTAAACCAGTTGTACAATCCTGAGCTCTGTCAGCTGACAAAAACCGTAATATGCAAGTTTAATGAAGCCTGACAACAATGTGCATTAGCAAATGAATTCAATTAACATGACATATGCTTTCACATAAATGTATTATGTAATATTACCTAGAGGAAGTTCCACTAAATGAATAGAGCCTACACAGTCTCTACATGTACATTAAAGATTTGCCAATATGTAGACATTTCTACAATAGTAAACACACACAACATCACAACATACAGTACAGGCAAATGGATCACAAGGATTACCTCCTCAGCATCCTGCAGCGACCAGTAAACACCTTTCATTTTAACAGACTGGCACCTGCCAGATAGGCGATTTGTAATGGAGATCTGCTACAAATCACTCTCCTTTTAGCAACATTCCATAGAGATGCATTAAAGTGATATTAAAGGCAATTAAAATTATTATACTTATCTGCTCTGTGCAGTGTTTTTGCACAGAGTAGCCCTGATCCTGTTCTTCTGGGGCCCCCTGCTGGCACTCCTGGCCCTTCCCTCCTGCTGCTGAGTGCCCCCAAAGGAAGCAGCTTGCTATGGGGGCACTTAAGTAGTATAGCTCCTGAGCCGATGCTCTGCATGTCTATTCACACCCACTCTCTCTCCGCATTGGCTCACTTGCTGTGATTGATAGTCTCACCCAATGAGGAGGGAGGAGTCCCTGGAGAGCCGAGGCTCTTGTGCACATCACTGGATCACAATGGGGCTCGGGTATTAAGGGGGCTGCTGCACACAGAAAGTTTTTTTTACCTTTGCGCATAGGATGCCTTTACAACCACTTTTAAGAGCAAAAGAGCGATTTTGTCACCAGCAAAAAAGGCTGTTAAATCTTAATTGCGAAGCTCTTTAAAAATTGACGCCAATGATTCCATTTAAAAAATCTGCTCATCTGATAACAACCTAAGGCTGATGACACATGGGTGACTGCCGCCAATGATCTTAGTCAAAATTTCCACTGCCAGGATCAGTAAGAGACTGCCCGTTTATTCCTGTGGCTACAAAGAGAGCCATACCATAGGGACACACAAGCAGCCTTTTTTAGAGATCTTGCCGCTTGCGATTTGTCACTAGTGTCAGAAATGCCCCGTTGGTTTGTAGCCTTGGGCTAATGTCAGATGGGTGATTTTTTTTTTTCTTAAGCAGAGCTTAAAGGATACGTCCATCTTTCATAACCTGTTACACCCATATTCAGGGTGTAAACATATAACATGTTAGAAAAGAACCGGCCCCCGTTCCACCGTTTTAACAGCTATTGGGGGGGGGGGGGGGATCTTCTTCCCCTGCTAGCTGTCACAATTAAAAAAAAAAAATTATATATATATATATATATATATATATATATATATATATATATATATATATATATATATATATATATATATATATATATATATATATATATATATAAAGTGGCCGTGTGGGGCTCTACCCGCACAGCTACGTCCCTCACTCACAGTATTCTGTGAGTGAAAAACTAAAAGTCCCAACAGCCTTTGCGACTGTCGGCTTGTAGTTCTCAATGAACTACCATGGCACTGTTGTACATTGTCTTTTCCCGTCAAGAGTGTATCTGCTTACCCATACGAGGTATGAGCACACAGATATACTGAGTCTGCAGTAGTCCTGCATAGCACCAACGATCTGCTGATCGCCGCTTTACAGACTCCTGAAACAGAAAATAGCAAATGCACATTTTTTTTACCTGATAAAAAAAAAAAAAAAAAAAAAAAAAAAATGCAGATTCAGGTGGACGTTTCCAATCATCCCCGCATCCATTGCCTGTGCGTCCTCCTCTGTGTGAGGTCCCGATTCATGTGATCACCGATTGGCCAATCAGTGATCACATGAACAGTAGTAAATAAGATGTCACTTCCTGACATCATTATTTACTACTTGTGAAATCTGTGAATGATCACAGAGGCCACATGGTACAAGGCTATTCACAACAGCCTTGTACCATGTGACAAGCTGTGACCAATCACAGCTCCCACGATATTTCTCAATGGCTGCAAGAATGCAGCCAGAGGAGAAATGATTGCTTTTACAGCCTTTATGGGTGTAAAAGCAATCAGTGTAAAAAAAAGAAGAAAAAAAGAAAAAAAAAAAAATCATCACCTCCACAAGTAGTATAGTGTCACTATGGTGACACTGTACTGCTAGGATGACAGTATGTTTAAAAAAAACAGATAATATAAAAAAAAAAAATAAAAAAAGGATTTAGAAAAATTATAATTTTTCTTTATAAACTAATTTGGGTTAATTTTTTTTTTTACTAAAAAGATAACCGCATAAAAATTGTAGCCAAGATTTATGAAGAAAGATTATTTGCAAAATTTTATAAGAAAAACTTTGACTTTTTAATTTATATAGCAAAAAAGTAAAAGTCCCAGTGGTGAATAAATACCACCAAAATAAAGTTTTATGTGTCTCAAAAAAAATTCATATGCGTACAGTGTTGCATGACCGCACAATTGTCATTCAAAAACTGAAAACTGGTCTGGGCAGGAAGGGGGTGAAAGTATCTGGCCTTGAAGTGGTTAAAAGGTGAACTTATCCTTTAATTTGCCAAGGCTGAGCAGTGGTGAAAACTAGGTTGTTGAGCTACCCCCAGCCACCAAGCCGCAGCAAGATCGTAGCATCAATAGAAAAACCCCCTTTGGCTGAAAAAGGGGCATTCAGGAGGTGGCAGTATTGCCTCCTAAATACTTGGCAGCCAATGCTCTACCGCCCTCTGAAAAGTGATCCACCACAAAACATGTGGCAGGTGGGCAGTAGAGAGTGGCGCTTGCGTAAACGAGCCATCAGCGTAACGGTCACTGGTGTTTTTGCCACTGACGCAAAGTGCTGCTGATTCTGAGTCGCTGAGCATCAAAGCGGTTTAAAAATTATAGTTAGTGATTTGAAGAAAATCATCATGACCTTAGTGAGAAATTGCTATAACAAAACGGGAAGGGGTGGTTACATCGAACATCAGCCCAATGGTGGCCAGACACAGTGCCATATATTGACCTCACAAGCCTTCGTCACACTGAATCCAACTTTGAAATCGTGCGACTTCACTTGAGTTTGCATGATTTCAAAGTCGATTGTCAGTCTGACTTTAGGTGTGACTTGGAAGACATCTGTGCAACTTCATGCACAGATGCCTTAGTAAGTCGTACCTGAACTTGCAAAAATGAATGCATGAAGTACTATCAAAACTGTATGCGATGGAGTCAGAATTGCACCAATATGACTGCTTCCATTGCGGACAATAGGGTGAGACTTGTCATGTGATTTGAAACTATCAAACCGCAATGCAAGATGCACCGGTGTGACCAGAGACTATTGCAGGCCATACATGGTTCGAATTCCGAACGATTTTTTGTCCGAAA